TGTTAAGGCCAGTGTTCTGGCCTTATTCCCAAATGGGTAATTGAATTGCTTTGAACTTCTGCAAGTTCAATTGGACGTGGAGTTCTCCACTTCCTGCTCTTGGCCTTTTAATGGGATTATTCTGCTGTGTTCACCACCTAGAAAGTTAGTGTTGGGTAAATGATACCTGAATTTGCATGGTTTTCAGCCATGGTAGTAGGTGAGAAAATCCTCCTGTGTTTTCCTTTATTTTCCTCCATGAGAGAGAACACCTCTATGTCTGGCCACGTGCCCCTGGCTCAAGATCAGGACTTCCAAAGAGGGGGAGATCCCCATATCAACAGGGAGAACTTCATACAAAAAAATAAGAGGCTAAAAACCTCTTGGTGGTATGACGGGGATGTTGAGAGCAATGTCACTAAACAGCATTTATGTCCCCAAACAGCCTTCATTTCACAAAGTGGTGTTAGAAGTAGAAATGATTGATGCCGCATCTTACTAGTTGGGACCAGCTGGATACTTTATTTCTGTGGATTTGGGGGGTAAAAAAAGATGGATTTTTTTTTTTTTTAATTTATCTCCTTTAGGTCTCCCTTCACTCTGGTGTTTAGGCTACCTCAGGTTCCTTTGGGATGAGCCACAAAAGATAAGCATGAAGTTTTAAGGCTATATAGAGACCAAGTAGGAATTGGGCCATCTTACGTGGGGCATGACTGCTAACTTAATGTAAGAAATATAAATAAGTTTGATATTTTAAACTACTTTTTTTTTTTTTTTCCTATCGGGGTCTAAGTGAGCTCGATCCATTTTAAGACCCAAATTCAGTTATTGCAAAATTGGTCAAATTTAGTTTTGAGTTTAATTAGTGCTTTACAAAAGTCTCGCTTTCCAAATTTCAGGGAGAAAAAATGCATGGTGATTCTCCCCTGGTAGGCATTTTTTTCATCTATTTCCCCGTCAAGACTGGTGCGAGGTTTGGTAAACAGAGATCTGCTAGTTTTGAGGATATTTTGCTACATCAGCAGCAAAGTTTGCTGAAGTTTAATCACAGCAGAGCAGCCTGTTCCAGTCTTGTTCCCAGGAACAATTTTTGTTGCCTTGATTTTTCTCTTGCACACCCCCAATCGTTCTACTTGTCTCTATCTTATTTTGCTTCTTGTTGCTTTTGCATTTGAAGGTTTTTTTCCCAAGGAAAAAGAGGGGGGGAAACAAATTGAATTAAAGCTAGCCAGAGGAGTTCAGGAGGATAAGAGGCTCTTATAGCAGTAAGGGTGGGGAGAGAGGAAGTAGTAGAGAATATCCATTAATTAATGAGATGAATGAAATTAAGATGGTTCTAAAATGGTTGATTTACTTAACTGCTTTGTAAATTGATCTTTAAACAGGATAAGTTTATTAAAATATTTTGAAAATGGAAAATAACTGAAGCCTTGTTAGAATAACCGTTCTAAACAATGTTAGTGGGGTTATTCATTAAAAAAATGGTAGGTAGTTGGCAGCGTTGGAACGTGTTCAGTATTACCAAGTTTTGCAATATTTGCTTTAGGTTTTTAATGGAAAATTCCCAATTCCTGCAGTTATTTTCAACACACGAAACTGTCTCAGAAGCATTGTTTCTAGATCTTATGGTTGTGTAGAGAAGAACATGAAAATGTGAATGACACGACCAGTAAGAAGTATGTCAAGAAATATGTCAGATGCAATATATGCTGTGCACGTAACTATAAGCAAGGGAGTTTTTACCTCTGTACATGACATCGGTGAGAGCAGCAGGGAGATCCTGTATATGATTTTGGTGTTCATATCTTCTTTTGAAGTGTTGAAAAGTTATATGGGGTAGAAGTCTTCTTGAATGGTTAGAGGGCTAGAAGAATAACTTCCACAGGCAGACTGGAGGACTCATTGGCTTTGTTGTTTTTTGTTTTTGTTTTTCAAATTGCCCATATTTTTTTGAGTAGTTGTGTTGACCACAGTATAATGGATTTAATCTAACAGTAGGGTTAACCTTCTTCATGCCTTTTAGAAGCAGTCCACAGATTAACAGGACTCTGTGGGCCACGAGTTGGAGGTCGCTGAATATCTTGTTCTCATGGCCTTGTCCAGCAGCCCTTACATCCTTGTGCATTTGAAATCACTGCACATGCACAGCAGATCCCTACTACATCAATGTGGGACAAAGGGGAGGCCAGATCACTTTCCTACATAATGCCATGTATCACAGAAAGTCAATCATTTATTTTTCTTGCATATCAGAACACTGGAGTTCATTAGGTTTAATTCAGTTGTACTAAAGAATACTTTAATTTGGCTCAAGAATGCAAATCTAGAAGCTGAGCCCTGATGTTTTAGACAAATTAAGCATGGGATCACACCCTGATCCTAAAGGGAAGGTCTACCCCATGTCAACAGACCATTGCAGGAAACATTAGGTTCTTGACGTTGCGTGGCATTTTTGAAGCCATCTGGAAAGTCACCCTTTTGTCAGATGCAAGTTTTTCAGTTCACGGGACTAGAAGGACACAGGTTTGGGGTTGCTAGGTCTGTGACAAACTGGAGATTAAACTAGGCAAAGTATATTTTGGTATTAAAACTTGAAGAGTCGGTAAAGTAGGAATTTTTATTAGAGGTAATTCTGTGTGAATGTACTGGTTCATTAAATCCTTCAGTTCAACAAAGTACTTGAGGCCATGAAAGTCTTGAGGACATGAAACTTGGTGTTGACAGATAAATAATTCAGGAAACGGTAAGATTAGAAAGACAGGTAAAAAAAGATGGCAAAAATGGGTTCATCTCAAAGGAATTCCAGGCTGTGTAAGGGGTTGGTGATGTGAGTCAGTAAGTCAGTGTGGCACTTCTTGCAGAGCTGGATAAAAGGGCTGAGCCTCCCCAAACCCAGAGGCCAAACCCAGCACACGGTGTGTGTTTACAGATGCTCCTTGTCAAGCTCTCAATGTCTCAGCCTGAGGTTCAACTTCCAAATTGCAGTTGTTACGATTCCAGTCAGTTGCTCGAACACTGCTGCATTGGCTGCCATGCCCTTGTGTGAGCGGAATAACCCGGGTGCTTGTCTTTTAAGATTGAAAATGGCTCGTACGTTTTCGGTAATTGATTGTCCCGAAGGACAGCACATTCCTACTGGAACGAAGCACTCAAATGGCTGTAGTCCGTCTGTCTTCACAGATGGTCATTTTCTTGGATGGGAGTCATCCCCTTGTATTGTCCTCCTGCTTCCTTTTCCTTACGTACCCATTTCTAATGCTAAAACAATCAAAGGGACTCAATGCTAGCTGTAAGTGGCCGAAGATAAGAGCTTCTTATCGGTTTTGGATTTTCCAGGCTGCAAATGCTATTTTCATGGATGCATGCATCCTGGTTTTGTAGCACCACATCCCCACGTAGCTATCCTCTAGCTACAGCTCTCCTAAGCAAACCACTTCTCAGGGCTGCTCCTCAGCCCCGAGGCCACCCAGGCACATCCATGTTAGAGGATTACCCTTAAAAACTGGGTGTCTGCATCCAAACACCGTGCTTGTGGCTTCTGGTGTTGTGAGATGTTGCTACCTTGAATAGGTCCTGTTGCTACACCCCCAAAATTTGGTTCTGTGCGATGTGCTTGTCTGAAAGAAGAGTAAAAGCAGTGATGGAAAAAGGCTTCTCGCTCCGTGGTGGCCATTGGGGACCATGTGCTAGGCCCATGTGGTAGTGCAGAACTAGGAAAGAGGAGAGATCTTCGAAATCTGTGGAGGTTTATGGGCAGTCCTGTTCCTGGAAGGCCTAGGAAGGTCTGGAGGCCTGGAAGGCCTCATGAGAGCCATTATCCTTCTTGTGGTTTTCCACAGTCCCTGGATTTCTTGCTTGACTTCCCCGAGGCTGCTCTTTGGCTGCTCTTGCTCGTAAGGATTCTCCGTTAGCTTTTGTCGTGTCTCCTGGAGTCTGAGTGATTTCTTCACCCTGCTCTCCTGCAGGAACCGTAATAAACCCTTGGCTCTCAAGGAGATGCACAAAAAGGCTGGAGAGTGCCCTGATCTCTTTGCCAAAGTCCATCTGCCCTCTGTTTGCTGTCCCTTCTTCTCCAGATCCTGGGGTCTGAAGGAGGTGATCTCGTCATTTGTATGCTATTTGGCTCTGTCGTGAGGAGATTTAGGAAGGAAAAGAGATTAAAGGAGCACATTGTGCCTTTTTCAGGTCCATTTGTGGGCTCTGCAGCAAAGTCATAGGATGCTCGTTGTTCGGATACTTTGGGAAGTTTAGGAGTTAAAAAAAAATCTTTTGATGAGCCACCATCTTGATGGAGTTACACAAAAAGCCTGCCTTCGGAGGGAAAAAAGCAGCAGACTTTATTTCTTTAAATGAAAGCTCAGTAATAATTGGATGTGCTGCACTTTCCTTCTTAGGGCAGGCGATCTGTGACAACATCCCAGGTTCAAAAGTTTCTAACTTCAGAAATCGGACTTCAGTCAAATCAACTTTGGTCCTACAGGCCACGAGAATTTCCGCTCGGCATGTTTTTATCTTCTTTTTTCAAGGTAGCAACAAAAAGTTAGGGCAACTGGAACGCTTTGTACTTCACATTCAAAAGAGTTGTGATTTATAAATCTCATGTTATAACCAGTTAAAATTTCTCCACAAAAACTTCACCTCTGGCCTTGGACCTAGCTGGTCAGTTTGGGAACGTGAGATTTCTGTTTGGATAGTCGGCAACAAGCACAATTTGGTGTGAAATCTGGTTGCAGCCTTAATTACTGACCAGCCACTGCCTCTCTGTAACAGGTTTATCGAAAGCAGATGAGTAGTAACTGGTGGTTTAGTGGAGAAGGTGGAAGGAAAACTAGTAGGAAAGAGGAATGTTGTTTGAAAACTTTGAAGAAATAAGTCTTGCTGCCATGTGCTGAGCCTGATTGGAGATGCGTGGCTTAGTGTCGGACCAGAATTGGGCTTTCCTGTAAGTAAGGTGCTTAACCATGTGCCACAGAGAACTGTTGAACTGAAATATTTGCTTTTGCGTTTCACCTTGTTTTCAGTCTGCTGGAAACCATGTCTCACTACACAGACGAACCAAGATTTACCATAGAGCAGATAGACCTGCTTCAGCGCCTGAGACGTACGGGAATGACCAGACATGAAATCCTTCACGCGCTGGAAACCTTGGATCGTCTTGATCAAGAGCATAGCGACAAATTCGGAAGAAGGTCTAGCTACGGAGGCGGTTCCTACAGCAACAGCACCAACAATGTCCCAGCATCTTCCTCTACGGCCACAGCTTCAACACAGACCCAGCATTCGGGGATGTCCCCGTCACCGAGCAACAGTTACGACACCTCCCCACAGCCTTGCACTACTAATCAGAACGGGAGGGAGAGTAACGAGAGGTTGTCTGCGTTCAACGGGAAGATGTCACCGACCCGCTACCCGCTCGCAAACAGCTTGGCTCAAAGGTCGTACAGTTTTGAAGCTTCGGAAGAGGACTTGGACATTGATGACAAAGTGGAAGAGCTGATGAGGTTAGTAGAAGTCTTTGTAAAGAGTTTGGAAAGGCAGAGTAAGAAGTCCCTCAGAAGAAATCAGCGTGTTGGAGGACTGCTCTAGTATTGATAGGTATTACCAGGAGAGTTTTAGTTATTCCCCTGTTCCCTTAAGGTCACTATCTCAGTACCTCTCTTCTGCCTCTTAGACAATCCCTGGTCGCACACAGATGTACCAGAGGCTGTTTTCCTGTTGCAGTGCTTTTTCCCATGCAGTACCAAAGATTAAAATTCATGCTAGCTCACTAAATTTCCACCTTACTCTTATTCAGAAGATTTCTGAGTCTCAGTTCACATGAGTCTTCCTCCCATAATTGGTACCAGTTGAGTTTCCTTCCATATGTAGTAGGGAAGCTGCTTGGTTAATGATTTCTGCTGTGATCTGCAGTGCATGTATGTTATCTGTTTAGAGTTTGTGTCAGGGGCTGACTCCCTCTTGGATTTGCACAGTCTGCAGATTAGTGCAGGAAAGTAAAAATAATAAAAAAAAAAAGAAGAAGCAGAAGTCTTTAGTGAGAGCTAGTTTTATTTTTTTTCCAGACTGACCTTCCTTTACTTCTAGCCACTTCCTTTGCATTATAGCAAAGGTTAAAGGAGGGACTGTTCCACCGCAGTGAAAGATGGAGTTAGTGGGCTCAATAGCAAAAAGAAATAGGAAAAGACCAAATGTCGCAGAACTATTTGGATTATAATTTTGGAATGTTGTTGTTTTTGGGGGATTTTTTTTGTTTGGTTGTTTTTTTTGGTTGTTTTTTTTTTTTTTTTTGGTTGTTTTTTGCTTTTCCCCCAAAACTGCAACATTTATAAAACACTTATGGGATAACTAGGGTCTATAATCTCCCAGATGAAAATATATTTGGAGATTCGGGGTACAGGTGTGGCTTTGGGGGAGAGGATTAGAGATGAGCAGCAAGAAAAACCCATCAGCCTTGTTCCCTGTCAACTTCAGGATAATGGAATAATACAGGAAGATGAAGTGGATAGCAGCGTGCAGGAGTTCCCATTGCTGAAGTTTTAATCATTCCTTTGAGTTTTGGGTTCCTATGAAATAAGTCCCAAGTAATGCTTTTAGTGCTTCTTTAAACTGAAACCTCTTTATTTTCAGACCTATGGAGGATGAGTGTGGGGTTCAGAAATAAAAATGAACCCCCCCAACACTGTACAACACAGCATTTATTTTGCTTTTTTGCAAGCTTAAATCTGCCTTGGAAGCTGCTGGGGCAGGAAGGGAGGAGGAGAAGGGAGATCACCAAATAATAAAGCCTCATAAAGTTACTTTAATTGTCTGCACCTTTCAGGGAAGAAGGGAGGAAGCGGGAGGGAAAAGTATGTGCCTTCCACAATTGAAATTTGCCGTATATCACAGTCCCTATGCAATTGCCAAATTATTTCCCTTTTAGCACAGTCCCTTCTGAACTATCTTTGTGCTCCTTTTAAAAATCTTACAAAGGCTTTAATAACTGGTGCTTGTTCATTCAGTGCAAGCCGTGGACTAGGGAGGTAGGGATGGGGGATAGAGGTTGCAATATCTTTCTCCTCTGGGTCTTTTCCTTGAAAGACTGGAGAAGGTTTGTGTACGTGTATTCATTTGTGTAGCTAACCATGCAGACCCTGCTATCCTTTATTTTTTATTTTTGTGCCTCATTTTTATGACTGAGTTTTTTTTTTTATGCTGGTATGAGAGATTTATTCATCCCTGTGTAATGAAACTTTGTACATTCCATATGGCAGCCCTGCACCTAATATGAATTATATAGGACATGAGTCATCTATTCTCCTGCTAGGGTACTTTGCTCAAACGTGACACTTGTTAAAAGAAGTGTCCACTGGTGAGGCACTTTGACTATTTTAATGCCTGCCTTCCCCACTCCTCGTCCCCTAAATAAAGGAAATAAAGCCATTTTGCTTCTTCAAAGTGCACTTTGGTCTGTCTGTCTTTTGTGTGCTCTTTTGTTTGTTTTTTTTTTGTTTTGGTAGGAGGGACAGCAGTGTGATAAAGGAGGAAATCAAAGCCTTCCTAGCCAATCGGAGAATTTCCCAAGCAGTTGTTGCACAGGTAACAGGTAAGAGCTCAGGAGTCCTTTCTTCATTTTGGGAAACTGTGTCTAACTGCCTATGTGTGCATGGTGCAGATGCTGGAATATTGCTTGGCTTTCTGCATTGCAGTGCAGATCTGTCAGCTTAGTCATGATAATGTATGCCTTTGATTTAAGACCCATTGTCCCGCACATCATGGAACTTCCCCAGTGAATCACTTGTTCTTTTTTCTTTTTTTTTTCTCATGGCTTATGCTAGCAGATTTTATTTTACAGCATTATAATAAGCCCAAAGTTTTTATCTTAGAATGAAACCTTTTTCCTTAATTATTGAGTTGTTTGTTGCAAATAGATACATATCTACATCTCTGTGGATGGAGGTATATATAATACATATTCATATTGTAAGATGCATATGAAAAATCTGGAGACACAGCTAAAGCGGGTATCACTGCATCCAGCAGTCTGATAGTTGTAAAGTTTTTTCAGTTGCTCGTCTTTGAGTCACGGTTAGTGCAAATCAGATGTGAAGCTGACAGGGATGACCATTCTAGCTCAGATTTTACCTAGAAGGAGAAGCAATTCTTTTTCAACCTCTACCTTGTACCTTCCCTCTTTCACATTCAGGACAAATGAGCAAACTGCAGTGATACCATTTATTCCTTTGGTGTATTTCAGAGCTCTTTACAAACACTAATCCTGCTGCTGCTCCATGGGGCACTATTAGTTCTCCTTTACAGGTCCATTCTGCTTGTCCAGACCAGCATAGCTAGCAGCATACTTAGATGGAGACTTGATGATAAAATAAATACTCAACCCCGCATTATAGTTATAACATCTATTCATTTTTAAAACCAAGCTTGAATAAAGATCTTGGAATAGATCCTTTTCAAGGATCCTCAATGACTAGGAATGCCAAACCAACAGGAGGGAAGTTGTTCTTTTTTGCTATTTCCAGTGTTTGAAATGTCATGAGAACCCATCTGCCTGGGAGATCTGGGTTTGCAGACGCTGTGTGTGCTAGCAGTTGAGGTAGGCAGGCAAAAACGGGTGCTTGAGCCGTGGAGCCAGGAATTTCTTCCACATCTGTGGTCTTGGGCAAATTACTTGTCCTTTCCTGGTTTCAGTTTCATCTGTAAAATCATGAGATTAACATTCTGTATTACCCTGAGGAATGTTATTAGCCTTATCAGATGTTAGCACTAGTACTTCAAAAATTTAATGCTAAGTCTACTTGCTTGAATCGGACCTGAACTGTGACATTTTGGCAGTCTGTGGGTCAGTCCCTTACTTATGTGCAGTTCTTGCTTGAATATGGTCCCGAAACGTCTCACATCTAAATTAACCACTGCATAGCTTTTTATGAGAGCAGTCAACAGAAAAACTTCTGACTCAAAGATTGATTCCCAAAATTCTGGCACCCTTCGTATCTACAGTAAGTCAAAGTAGCCCTCTCCCTTCAAAAGTAGTGCAGAGAGAAAAAATGGCAGAAAATTTTTGTCTGTTTGTTGTTTTTTCCCCCTCAGTCAGTTGGACTACTGCATACAGGGCCATTAAATCAGAATTACTGTGCTAAATCTAAGATGATCTGTATCAGTAAAAGGAGCTGATCTAATTGACCATGTCTCAGTCCATGTCTTGATGCCTCTGTCTTGCAGGTTGACAGTAGCAAAGTCTCTTCACACCTGTCACTTTGCTCCTTCCATCCTCAACCTGTTGTCTTGGGTTTCAGTTGTTAATCATTTACAGACTCATAGAATCATCTCGGCAGGAAAAGACCTTCAAGATTACCAAGTCCAACCGTTAAGCTAACCTACCACTAAACCATGTCCACATACACACATCTCCAGCAATCTGTGGTTCCTCCAGGGGCGAGGACTCCACCACTCCCCTGGGCAGCCCCTTCCAATGCTTGACCAGCCTCTCCATTAAGAAATTCTTCCTAATGTCCAATCTAAACCTCCCCTGCTGCCACTTGAGAGTACCTTCTTGTGTCCTATCACTTTTCATCTGAGAAAAGAGACTGACACCCTCCTCATTGCTACCTCCTTTTGGTTAGTTGTAGAGAGTGATGAAGCCTCCCCTCAGGGGAGTCAGTGTTTAGCCTCTGGGAGCTTGTCTTGTCTTTGCCAGGCTGTTCCTCTTGTAAGTGAAGTATAGAGTCAGAGAATCATGAGGGTTGGAAAAGCCCTCCAAGATCATCTGCTCCATCTATCCCCTACCACCAGTGCCACCACTAAACCATGTCCCCAAGCACCACGTCCAACCTCTCCTTGAACACCCCCAGGGACGGTGACTCCACCACCTCCCTGGGCAACCCGTCCCAAGGCCTGACTGCTCTTTCTGAGCAGAAATGTCTCCTCATTTCCAACCTGAACCTCCCCTGGCACAACTTGAGGCCATTCCCTCTGGTCCTATCACTGGTTACCTGTGAGAAGAGGCCGACCCCCAGCTCCCCACCCCTTCCTTTCAGGCAGTTGCAGAGAGCAATAAGGTCTGCCCTGAGCCTCCTCTTCTCCAGACCAAACACTCCCAGTTCCCTCAGCTGCTCCTCACAGGACTTGTGAGGAGCTTCGTAGCTCTTCATCAGCTTCGTAGCCCTGCTCTGGACATGCTCCAGGGCCTTGATGTAGTAGTAGACCTTGTAGTAGACCTTTCAGATACGAAAACGAAGTGAATATTTTGCACCTGATGCACTTGCACAAACAAAGGTAGCTGCAAGGCCTGTGCTGTAAGGTGATGCGTGAGTCTTCCCCCTGCAACCCTTTGCAGTTGAACAGTTATCCTCCGTGTATTTGCTGGGGGAAGGTCTGTGGGAGCTGCTTCATTTGAAATGTAACCCTTAGCCTTGTGTATGCAGATGGGTAGCACTTAAGCGACACTATTAAATACATAATTATGGCTGTAGTGAATCTCAAGGAGATTGAAGGGACCAGGTTAAAGAGCATGCTTTACCGGGGGAAGCATCAGCTTCCTTTCAAAGGCACAGTACAGTGACGAGTGGCTGAAAATATTTCAGGATGGAGACCCAGAGCAGAAGGCATGTGGCCCAGGGCTCTCACTTCCAGACTTGTCTTAGGCCTGGTGAATGCTGATTTGTGTGTTCTTCAGGTGTGTCCATCACCCCTTCTTGTTCAGAATATATGATCCCAGATGTTATCATCTCCATATTTAGAGGCTTTCAGGTAAAGATGTTCTGTAAAACATTCATTAAACGAGAGAAAAATAGATAAAATTCAAAGAGTGGTCACTAGGAGATGGCATAGGAAAGGACTATAGGTGTGAAGTGATATCTCTCCAGATTACTGCTCAGCTTCCAGTGATCTGTGTCTCAGGGTCGTCTTCACTGCATTTTACACATCAAGGTGATTTTCTGGCCAGTGAAGGGGCTGTGAAATCATGTGAAAGGAGGCGATTCTTCAGGAACAGGTCAGCAACCCAGAGAGGCTGCGGTGCTTACAGCCCGGTGGTGGCGTGGCGGTATGTAGGTCGTGATGCCCTCACTCCTCTCCAGCTCCAGGCATCCTTCACCACCAGTCATTTAAATCCAAACAGCAAGCTGTTTCTGGAGGCTGGATGTCAGATGTTGGGTGTATTGGACTTGCCCAACGGCTGGTTGCCACCCTGCATCAGCTGGAAATCATTTGTTCAGCGCTTGAAATAAAATGCAGAATATTATGAGCTTAGCTTTTACCATTCATCTTTTCTGCCCTGGGAAGAGAAGCAAGAAACAAATGAAATGAAAAATGTATGGCTGGCTCTGTCCGTGAGGAGAGTTGTTTGACTTGGCCACCCATGCTATGAACTTTTTCCTTGCAGTCTCTACCTGTTTCTATGCTACTTTAAAAATTCTGCTTGAGTATGTAAATGGCAGAATGGCACGGAGAGAGGAAAGGAGCAAAAGTATATCTGACCCAGAATGATCTTAGACCTTTAGCTAGGAACCTAAAACTTCCTCTTCTTTATTATTGCTGGGTTTGCAGTTGGCTGAATCAGACATAAAAGTGATGAATATTAGTTAAAAAAACGTATTTGCATGTCTTCAAATTGCAGGTCTTGGATTAGCTCATCAGAGAGTACTGCATCCTTTGTGCTTACAGTCATATTTGTCCCCATTCTCTATCTTGTCATCTTTCTGTCCTTGGTGCAGCAAATTCCACTGCAACTTCTACAACTCAAAACTTCCATTTTACCTAATTTCGTTAATTCTTCAAGGCACTTCAGATTTCATTCAAAAATATCTTTCTTCTTTTTCTTAATTCTAATATTGCAGTGCACTCATGGGATATCAACCCCAGACCTACAAAATACACCGAACAGGCTTGCATTTACAGCCTCTGCAACTATAAACTGCTCTTCCTTTTGTTTTTCCTGTGCTGCAGTGAAAGTGGGTGGGAAGTGATGGAGGTCAAGGATATGCAAGAGAGGGACACGGAGCTGGAGGTTAAAGTCAGCTGTTGCAGTAGAACAATTTTTTAGGCTCTCTTAGTCTTGATAAAATTACCAGAAACTTTTAAAGTCATTTAGATAATGAATCTGACATGGAAAATTAAACCTGGAAGACATTCGACAGAGCTGCCTTGTGTACTGAGAGAAGAGAGCAGACTGGAAAATAGTAACAGAATATTAAATGGTGACTTGGAAATAAAGAAATGATTGATAAGAAGCAAAAACCTAGCATAACACTTATTAGTGCTGGTCCTAAATACGGGAGCTGCTTTTTATAGAAACTTTTTTAATGGTGTCTGTAATAAGATAAACAAGAAGCACTTGGGTTGGGCTCTGTATAAATAATCTCCTACTGATAAGAAAAATGACAGTATAAACAGGAGCTAATAATAGTTCCTGCTGAATTTCCTATCTTGTTGTTTGAAGCTCCTTTTCACATAGCTGCAGCTTACTCGGGGGGTAGCTATTTAGCCCTACGTGGGGCAGGTGAGATGCCAAATTTTTGCAAACAATAATTTGAAGTCGTGCAGTGTGATTTGCTTGAGTTGCCACCAGAATTGTTTCTGGCCAAGTAAGCTATAGTCAGAAGTCAAAGGTTAAAGAGATAAGTGTATCCTTGTTAGGCGAGGCTGGCTCTTGATTTAGGCTCCAGGTGTAGAAGGAAGATGGGGGAAATGTTTTCAGAAACTAACATCTTTCTGCTTTGTACTACAGTAAAGGAGAGAGGGAGGAGTATTCAGAGATGAGCCCTTTGCAGCCAAGCTAAATGCTTTGATGGATGATGCCTCTGCAAGGTTTGGAAGTGTTGCCTTTTCCATTTTTTACACATAGGGAGAAAAGGAACAAAAAATAAGTGTTTTCCTGAGGTCACAAGGAAAGCGATTTGTGGTAGAGCAGGAATTTTTATTCAGATTTCTCAATTCTCAGCTTAGTTTTTATGGCACTAACCTATTGTGTGTAAAGAAAATAATAATAATAACAGTAAAAGCATAAGAATAATAAAATGCAGAGGTCATTTTTCAGAAAAAATACATAATGGCACTCTTCAGTGTGCAGTTCTGCTAACCTTCACTGTTAGTCTGCTTGTACAATTCAGTCTTGTCCTTCTGTCTCTCTCTTAATTGATACGAGATCTTCAGGACTTAGCTTTGTATTATGCTAAACACACAAAGCATCTTGTGCAGTGGAGGGCAGCCTCAAAGCAGTGCTGTAACATAAATAAAACCCCCGAAGGTTTGGAACCTACACACAGGGGTGCTCAGCAAACACAAAGATAGACCAAGTGAAATTTAAATAGTTGAATTGTGAAAAGAAAATTACCGAATTAGCGATGATCAGAAGTGGTGAGAAATTAGATGTAAAAAAAACAAACAACACAAAACAAAACACAAAACAACCAACGTTTCCTTTTTTTTTTTAATATTCATGAAAACAGAGGGAAAGATTTGTTTCTGTATGATTTTGATCTTTGCAGGTTTTCTGTAAACAAGCATTTGCTAATCTCCTAAATTGATAGATGTCCTCTGCAAGCACGTATTATGTGATTCTAGGACTTTGCTTACAAACTGAAGAATTAAGACACTGTCAGTTATTTCTTCTCCAAATCTGATGCATTCCAGGTGCTTCTGAAAATCTCTCCTGGAAGAAACATTAAAGAAATGCAAAACAGTCACTGAACAAATCTATATGTGAAGGTGAAAAGCAGTTACCAGAGACTTGATGAATGGCAGGTTTGAGGTGGCTGAGCAGATTTGTACCGTAGATACCGGTTGCCTTCCCTTGATGATGCATTTTGCCATTTCTTTTATGTATATGGGAGGGAAAATTCTTCCCCATGTAATTTATTTAGGAGAGAGTCTACTTGTCCTGTCATCTCCGTTCCGTTTATAATTGCAAACAGTAATCGTACAATGGCAAATTGTAACCTGCTATGGGAAGGAGTGACGTGTGACAGAAGTCAGCATTTTGATTTAATACAATCCTTTGTGATTACCACTTCTTTCTTGGGTATTTTTGGTGAGCGAGCTAGTGGTGCTCGTTGCAACGTGTTCCTGCTGATCCCGAGCCCGGAGGACATCAGACTTCCTTGAGGTCCGTAGTTCAGTTGGAGGGTGAATTTCCTCCAGGCAGCTGGATTTTCAGTACTCCAGAGATCTTCTTTCATTAATCTGCTTCTGGCAGCAGGATGATTTCTTTTTTCCTGCCAGTGCAATTTTCTAAAGTAGCATGATTACAGCCTGTGTGACAGGATGGCACGGGTGGTAGGACTAGTCATTGTCCCCGTGAGTCAACTCTACAAAATCCACGTGAGATGCAAGAAACTCTAACGTGATGATCTGGGGGTTTTTAATTGAAAGGGGTGAAGGGTGGGCTTGTGATCTCTGTGCTGGGATCTAGGAGATTTTGGATCAATCCTTCTGCTGCTGACTTTGCACATGACCTTGAATCATCACCCTTGGATTGTACGGATCCTCTAAACTGGGGCTCCAGATGAGCAAATGAAAAATATTTTGTCTTAAAAAGAGGAGTGGCATAGGTAGAGGACGTGTTCAAGAAGCTCAGCTCCCACTCTGCCTATGAAAGAGGGGAAGAGACTAATAAAAACCAGGAAGGAGTGATAGAAAATGTGATGTGAAGGGACTTCTAGAGGTCTGCATCCTTATGAACAAGAGTAAGATCAGCTGCCCAAGCCATACTCATGCAGTGCTGTCTGGGTTTGTGGCATTCCTATAGAAGTTGCTAGCCGAAGAGCAAAATTAGCTGTAGGCTTTTTACCAATGCAGAAAGTGCTACAGACTGCAGTGCTGCCCATGAGATACTGTAATAAAGTAGGAACATATTGAGAATTTAGCTCTCTTTGCAATCTTTGCATCCATCCATCCCGTGTCCTGTACCAGCGCTCCGTTTTGCAGAAGTGACTTTGTGAACCGAGAGGGCTCTCGAGGAGTCCAGCGTGGACGTGGCAGTGCTCAGGGCACTTCTCAGCGTAAATATTTGGGCTCCTGCTCCTTTGCTTTGTCTCCAACACATTGCCTGACGTGGCTAACATCTGTACCACTTCGTGACAGTATCAAGCAGCTTCCTGGGCAGAATTTGAGTTTTCCACTCTTGTTGAAGATACTTAATGTCTATTTATAATTTTTACCTAATTATGCTTTGCATTTGTATCTTCTGTTGTTATCCAAACACTCGACGAACACTACTCAACTGCAAGAAGTGTAAGTGGACTGCAGCAAACAAGTAAATTAGTGGTGCTGGAGCCCATTGATTAATAGGAACCCATCATCCAAAAGCACTGAGACGCAACTCTTTGTGTCCCAAAGCCCTGTAGTAAAGAAATGGCTTTTATAAATCCTAACAGTAGGTGGGAAGCTGCAAATTTACAAAACTTGGACCTTTCACTGACAATCAGGAATCTGGATTGATGGTTTCAACCAGACTGGCACCTCACTTTGGGCCGGAGAGTTTTGTCAATTGAGATTGATTTATGTTTGGTGTTAGTGTATATATAGTTGGTATATACTGATATATATTTGGTATATATTTGGAATATATTTTGTATATATATTTGTTATTATGTGATTTAAATTGGCAGAATCTCAAGTTTGTATTTGGCTGGTTAGTTCCACTTCCCTAGCAGTACAAACCCAATTATCTATCCTGGAACGGGCCCAGGGGATAACCAGCTCTTCTTGCCTGCCCCTGTTGTTTCTGAACTCTTTCATACATCAGGCAAAAGCCGTCTCTGAGAACGGACACTGAGACCATCACTACACGTACAGGAAACCAAACCAAGCCACGGTATGTTGGTGGGCAGAGTTCTGCTGATTAGCAGTCAGTTTCTGTGCTCGGAGCACGCCTATCCCTTTTCCACGGGACAATTAAAACTTCAGAGGCTCTGGGATTCGCTGTAACAAGGAGCAGTTAAGAGCATAAAGCCCCGTGATTGTGGAAATCTGGTTGGAGTAAACCCACGTGAATACAGCACCTGAGGTTTGAGTTAAATCATTCTCCCGTTAACTAAATTCTACGTTCGGTGCAAAGAAAGTGTAGTAAAAACCCTTTATTAGAAGCGGTAAAGCTACAGGGGGTTGTTTTTCATGAGTTAAATATGATTATGAGATCTTTCTCATAATCATATTATGATTAATAAAACCTTGGTGCATCTCAGGAGGGGAGAGGCGGATTGATTTCTGCCTGAGAAGCAGCCTTCTACCTGCCTCAGCGCTGGCACCGAGCAGGTGTCGGCACAGGTGGTGCTCAGCAATATATTGTTACTGGGAGCACCTCCTAAAAGTTGAATTCTCGGGAGAGTTTAGATGTTGTTAACCCTTCCTGGGAGCTGAGGAGCCTGGTGGAAGCACGGGGAGCCTTACTGCCAGGGATATCGCTGCAGTTATTCAGCAAATAATTTTCAAGTGAACACACGGTTCCCCTCCTAGCACACCTTTAAACCTCTTGCTTTATTTGGTTCCTCTTCTTCTAATCATGAAATGTCCCTTTCTGCATTGATCTTTCATTTGGTGGCATGCTTTGGAAACAATAGCACTAACTTCTAGGTTTCTTCCCCTTTTAACTATTTTCTTAGAAGTCTTATTTTAAAGATTCTGGAACTTTTTGTCCCTAATCCTGCCTGGATATGTAGGGTTTGAATCCTTTTTGTTTTGTTTCCTGGCTGTTGTAGCAGCTGCTAGCTGTCTTGCTGCATTTCTGGGGTGATTTGATCCATATCACATAAACCCTTTCTGCATTTATCTCCCTCCTTATTCTAGCACCGAATGATAAAAGTCTCCCCAGGATCATTCCCTGTGTGTAACAGTGGGTGAGGGACTTGTTCCCGGTTCACAGATGAAGAACTTTTTGAACCAGGGAAGCTGTGGTTGAGAATTGGCCAATTCAGTGTCAGCAGATTCGGCTTCCCAGTTTGTGCCCTACTTGCCTGGAGGCTGATTGTGCTGAGCCCGGGGTGAATCTCAAGTGGGGCTGAAAATAGCAAAAAGGGAGAAGTTGAAGCAGTGAGGGATGGGGGAAGAAGCTTGAACTCTACTTTTTCTGTGATCGAGCCATTAACATTGAATTTCTAGGCTTTGTAAGACAACACCTTTTGTCAATACATAAACCACTTTAAATATTTTTCAAAGACCAAGTTTTCTCTTCCTCCTTGTGTTTTTGTTTCCTCCAGGTATCAGTCAGAGCCGGATCTCCCATTGGCTGTTGCAGCAGGGGTCGGACCTGAGTGAACAAAAGAAAAGGGCATTTTACAGATGGTACCAGCTTGAGAAGACAAATCCTGGTAAACAAATTCACCCTAAACAGCTCCTGCTGTTCTGTTTATGGGGAAAAAAAAAAAAAAGAAAGCGCCTTTTGTCACTGGTTTAGATTATTACTGATCATTTACTTGGTGGTGTACTGACGAGGTGTCCCCTCTGACCAGTTTGCTTCTTAGGAATAAATCTGAGCTTTGCTTGCAGCTGTTGACCTAAAACCAAGCCACGGATAGCTCTCTGGGGTTGTCGGTCAAGCTCGTGGATGGGATGCGTTGATAGCTGGAGATGTCTCTCTCAAATCCCACCTGCTTCTCTGAATCTCAACATACATCTTAAATCTATAACGAGAAATAAAGCTCTGCATTGTCTGTGGCACACCAACAATCTTCAAAATCAGTTGAATTAATTTCCTTGCATTGTTTTTCTCCATAGATTTTGTTTGGCCATGATTCTTATTATTCCCTTTAATGGTTTTATTGTGAAGATCAAAATATTTACATTTAATTTTCCTTAAACAATGGCATGATTAAATTAACTGTAATTGTTTTAAGGAATTTAAGACTTAGCCTCTCTAATGTGAATTTGGCTTCAATATCCAGAGCTCTGTTAAGAAGAATTCCAGTGAAAACAGATCCTCAAGACTTCTGCTTTGTGTGTGAGCTGTAAATCAAGAGGCTCCAGCTGTCAATTGGCCTGAGAATACTCTAGCTTAAAGTTGGGTGGGTTCAAAGCCAGAGCCAAGCCTGTCCTTTCTGTTAAGCATCTAGAAAATGCTGTAAGGGATGAATGTGCCAAGGGTTGTGAAGTGCTGACAAGCTGCAGGGATCGCTAAGGAGCCTTGATTTTCACAGTGCTCGAAACTTTGATACCAAGGAGCAGCAAAAGTCCTGGAAACCTTTCACTACCAGCATCTTTGTAAGCCTCGTGTCATACCCCATGAAGTAATTCTCAGCCATTTCCCTCTGATGGAAGATAATACCTCCAAAAGTAGTGGATAACACTGGAGGTTTCTTCAGATGGTCTATTTTAGGGGAAAAATATTAAATTTCCTCTCCCAGCAATGAAAACTGCTGCATGGATTTTTCATTCATTCATTCATGGATTTTTCATGATTTTTTTCATTCGAGTATTGTTTGGAGCTGTTTAAGGAGTAGTGTTCTGGTATTCTGTGTTGGGAAAAGAGAATCCTTAGCACAAAATTAGCACTAAAGTCTTTACTTCTCCCTCCTAGCCTTCTTTCTCTCCCTTTATCCACGAGCTCACGTCTTGTTTGTCCTTTCAATCTTGAGAAGCGTCTGAGGAAGGAAAACGAGCGATGCTGAAGTTTGCAGCTTCAATTGAGACGAATCGACACGAACCTCTACTTGTCTCATCCACTGTGTCGCTGAGGTCTTGGTTCACTTTTCTTCGTGCACACATGGGAAAATTTCTTGAAGAGTGGTTATTTGAGTTTAACCTTTTTTTTTCAAGGCAGAGGTACCAGACAGCATTTTCAAGAAGTGTAAAAGGCAGAATGGCTCCTCTGCCTATGCCAAGGGATTATTTGGATGCATTTAAATTCCCTTCAGAACCAAATAGCGCTTGGTTTATTTTTAGAGGCTGAGGTAAGGGTGGGGAGGCTTGGTTTTCCTGTAGCTGTTGGCGAAATCTAGTTGAGGGAAATGTGATTGTATTTATTTATTTATTTCGGGTTAATCCACTTCCTTAAATTATCGCCATCTACTATATTGCAGGTCAGGCTGGCCAGCCAAGAGCGTGCAATTAGCATGCAGATGTGCAAGCGTATGCAGTGTGCTGTGGAAGATACCAACCTTGTCCAAAGAGTCCTGGACTTAAATTACTGCTGTAGAACCAATTTCGAGCCTAAATTTTGGGTGATAGTTGCAGTATCCTGTAATTCCTAGCCTAGACTGGCTGTTCTTTCTTCTGGTTGCCTTCTTTAGAACCAGAAAATGAGAAAATCGTTGGAGTCACAAAGAAGGGAAATGGTTGTTGCAGGGCTAGTCACTCTCTGCAAAAGACTGCCCTCCTCTGATAAAAACTTCAGTCATTAAGTGAGCCGCATGACTTTTTTCTAGTTGCTGACTTTCTCAGCAGTAAGTACCGAGACATTTGGTTTTCTGGTCTCATCCCATCTTTTCTGATTCCTGCTGGTGGGAGTAAAACCTCAGTCCTTCTCCTTTGTGCTGGAGAACTGGAATCTACCACTCAGGAGCACGTCGGGTCTGAGTTACCCAAGGGCAAAGGGAGGTTTTTGGGAACTTCTAGTTCCCTCAGTTGTTTAAGCCTTGTTTTGGACACTGGGGGCCTTCAGAGCAAATCCATTTTCTGACAATTCATTTCTGTAGCAAATGAAAGAAAACTTACAACTGAAACAAGTTTGCTGGACCAGGACACCAGATACAACCAATTCGTGAACTGCGAAGGAAGAATTGTTTTATGAGGAAAGGACTGGAGATCCCTTGGCAGACCTGTGGTCTTTCCTGGGCTCTGCTAGTTTTCTGTACAACTTTTAGCAAACGTTTTCCCATTTGCACCTCGCTCTCCCCTCTGCTAGGTAAAGATGAGGCTGCTTCTTGTGCGTGACTTGCCTGTAAGGTCCTCACAGCAGGGGCTGTCTTCTCCTGCACTGAGCCAGGAATATCTAATAATACACGGGACAAAAAATAACTTCTAAATGCATCAAAAGAGATTTTCATTTTCTCTTTTCAAATACGTGACGGTGGCGCATAACGCTTTTAAATCATCCGCTGAAGGACTTTGTGTCGCCGAGCTTTGGGGTGGTTTTGAGGCACTGCTGCTGTTCAGACGTGGCTAGATGCTGCTCCTGTGCAGAAAGGACTCAGCAATTCCACCAATCCCATTATTTGCCAGCTTGCTTTGGCCTCTTGAATATGCTCTTTGTTGTTTTCTTGCTTTTATTTGCTTGTTTGCATGGATAGTTCCTGTATTTCTCCTATCTTCAGTGACAAACAGCAGGTCAGAACAGTGCAGAAGGGACTGAGTCTCATGGATCAGGAAAGAAAAAACCTTTCTGCTGTAGGCAGAACTCAAAAATGTCTCGATCAGTGTTCTCCTGGTAGGAGTAATGTCAAAGTTAACAGCAGTGCTGCAAATTCCCATGTACCAGTGACCGTACTTTTTTTCTGGAAAGAGTTGCCAGTTAGGGTGAAAGGCGTTTTTGTCTCGAGGGGAAGAAGTCAACGCTAAATACTAGTGCTTGAAAGATCTTTAATCCAATTAACGGGGATACTTTTCATTTAGATTGGGCATTTTTTGGACAGGCACCACATCTCTCGTGTTTCATAGAGGACCGGGAGCATTTTGGCAGTGGATAAATAGGATTTATTTCAGAAGCCAGCGTATGACTGCATGGAGTCCTGTAGTGTTCTGATGATTTTTTCCGAGCTCCTGTCTTTTAAGTAAATAAATATTTCTTTTCATGCTGGTAGTTAGCCCGATCGGTTTGGCTGGAGCTGGGTCTAGGGCAACGTGGAAAGTTTGCTGTGGAGTAACTTCAGCGTTTCTTCTGCCTCCCTGCACTGCAAACTGGAGCTGGCACCTAGCAGTGAGGGGTTGGAGTTGCAGATGGATGTGGCCTGCTTCCAGTTAGGCTGGATTTTAGATTTCTGCCAGTCCTCCCTAACAGGGAGGCAGCTGTGGTCACCTTGGAGGAAACCCCTGTGCTTCTTCTCCTTGAGCAAAAGGGGAAAAAAAAAAGAAAGGTAGCGCTTATCAAGATGTAGCATCTCTTCTGCTATTCCCACAGCAGCTCTTGTTTAGCTATAAAAGAAAAGCATACAAAAAAAAAAAACACAACACCACAGGGCTGGATATCCCACGAGGTTTGTGCTGGCAAGGTATTGTTGGTGATTTACTATTTTACAGAGCTTCAGAGAAAATCGTCCCTGCTGTGATCCTTTCCGTCCAGGCAATGAGCTGGGTAGGGAGCGTTTTGCCTTGCAGGCTGCTGATCCCAATCCAGCCTGGCTCTGTAGTGACTGGAAGGTGTTTAGCACGCGGTCGCAGGTCAGTCTGGCTAAAAATAACGTGTGACATCTCTTCTGACCGGGGTAATACACGGTAGGTGCTTGCTGCAAAGGCTCGTGGCTGAATGGCTTCGTGGAGAAGGCTTGAAGCTGGCTCCAGCCTTTTTGTACATCACCCCCAAATTGTGGGGCCTCCGTGGGACGTGGATCAGCAACTGGACGGGATGCTTTGAGAGCAGCACTCTCCAGGATGGTGTCTGGGGTGTGCTGAGAGAAGGAAGGCCTTTGCCACGAGGATTTTCATTATGGAGCTAGCGCTGTGCTGTTACAAAAAGTACTCAGCGATGGCAGGCAGTAAGAGAGGGCACTTTGCCTTTTTCTCTACAAAACGTGTTCTTCCCAGCTGGTTCACCTCTACACCCCGTACAGATTCTTGCTTTTTGATGCGTACACCGAGACAGATTTCATACCGCATTTGCTCTGCTTGCTCTGCGGAAAAGTCCCACTTCTTAAAAGCTCTTTGAGGGGATTGTGTAAAAAAATAATCAAAATAATCTGCACTGGCAGCTAGGATGCAACTTATTAAGTTGGAAAGAAGCTGGGCGGAGCGAGGGTTGCAATGAAGCTTTGGAAGAGCAGAGTAAATGGGAGCCCAGAGTGGTCCCTGGGTTGAAGGAAACGAAGAAAAACTCTGGAGTTGCCTTAGAAAATGTGGCAGCGGGGCACGTGTCGACCACTTCCACCTCTCCCAGACAGATCCGAGCACATCTCGTGCCTCTGTGTGCATTCAGATGCTTCTGTCGTGTGTGTGCAAAGCCAGTGGTGTGTGCTTGGCATTCGCAGCATGCCCTTCTCTTAGCTGCTGCTGCTGTTGATGGTACCCCTTGGAAAAGAGAAATAGGGAAATGGATCTGGGAAGGCTACTAAATAAAAATAAAAAATCTTCGGTAAGTGAACCATAGCCGCAGGAGTAAACTGGTGCTTTAAATGCAGGTGTTTTTACAGCCTTTGTCTGCAAAATCTCAGACATTTCATATAATTACCCTTATCTTTATGTTAAGCATCCCTGATATTTCCATATTCTTCCTTTTTCTTTAGAGCATAAAAATAAAATTTGTAGGTGGGGACAGTGCAGGGAAAACTATTTCCTTTTCCTGTTCTCCTAGACTCTTAAAGAAATAAATAATAACATTTTTTAAATTTTGGATGTGTATTTAAAGCCTAGCAGCCAGGTGCTGACCCAAACCGTGCAAATACTAGAAAGAATAGATTAGGAAATTTCTTTGAAATGGCCCCGTTTAATAAATTTAATAAATTCCCAATAAATTGGCAGTATGGGAAGTATTTAACGTGTCAGTAAAACCAAGCGATGCTGTGCGGGCTGTGTAGCTGGGAATTCAGAGTCAGTGTCCCTCGTGAAGGCAAGGCAGGGGTTGTGGGATTCACGTCCTACAGCCTGCTCCTGGGGAAAGTTTTGAAATGTTTCTGGACTCTGCTACCCAACACAGATGCGAGCCCCTGGCAGAAGGGAAAACATTCACCGTGCATGTCTGGAAAGGAACGCAGCCAAATGCAGAAATCGCTAATTCCTTGCTTTTTAACCGTAGGAATTCGTTTATTGGATAAGCTCTAAATTCCCTTAACCCCTTTTACCCTGCTAGAAATGAAACGAGCTGCGGTGTTTCCCTAACACGGGATGGTTTTATGGTTAATTCCTATCCATCCTGAGGCTGTGGGCCCAGGGGTCTGTCTCAGCCCTGCCAGGCTGCTTCAACACCTGAATTCCAGTTGTGCTTATTGGTTATGGGCGATGATTTAGCTGTTTAGATGACTTTTTAATACTGATTTTTGCTTAGAGGAGCAGCTGTTTCTTCCCCCCAGGGGTGTAGTCAGTGAGCGCAAGTCGTGCAGGACATACCCTGGTTCACGTCCCGTACCAGCTTCCCATCCTCACCACGGGATATGTGAAAGTTTGTTCCCCCGGAGTGTCTTGGTTTGTCTTGAATTTATTATCAGAGAGCCCGTCGTGGAAGGAATCAGGGGTGAGTTTCAGAGCGCCTTTCCTGAAGGCACTGTCGAGTCCTGTCTCCCACTCGATGCTTTCCAGCTCAGGCTTCTGGAAAGGAGAAATATACCCACAGAAAGGGGACAGAAGAGGAGAGGTGTGATGTTAATCTGCTTTCGGTGACTTTTCCAGGCAGCCTGGCACTCAGGAGCCCTGATTTGCACAGGTCACAGAGCATGCTTCTATCGGCGGAGCTATTTTAAGTATTTCCTCAGCTCTTTGGATACATCGAAATACCTTTGCTATAAATTTACCCTTTGCTTCCTGAGACGTCTGGACAGTTAAACAGAAACCTGCCATTTCCCATTTTGGGGCCAAAAAAAGCACAGCCTGAATAAAGCCCAGCTGAGGCATGGCTCACCCCTTCTTTATGACACTTTCCCTCTCGATGAAGACAGAACAGCATTTCCAGAGTGGCTGTCAGCAAAGAGGACGAGCTGTTACATCTCCCTTAGATATCCATGGTCACCTTATTGCTCTCTGGCTTGGAGGTTGGGGACGGGAACCTTAGCTTTGTGTGTCTTTAAGGTGTCTTTGTTTAGTGGTGCTTTACATTTGTAGTTTGAATGGTTTCATCATCTGTCTTGTCTTTTTTTTTCGTGAGCAGGAGTGAGAAAATGGGCCTGATCTTTAGAGCACTGGGAAACGCAGTGTTTATTATTTGTAGGGGCTACGTTAAGCATGAGACCCGCTCCTATCCCAATAGAAGAGCCAGAATGGAGACAGACGCCTCCCCCAGTCACAGCTACCTCGGGGACCTTCAGACTACGGCGAGGCAGTCGGTTCACGTGGAGAAAGGAGTGCCTGGCTGTTATGGAAAGGTAAGTTACTGTGGGGTTCTGCACATGGGCATTTAAAAGCCTTTTTCCTGCTGGCTTCATTTTCATGGATGTGATCACACTTGCCAATGACGGTCTTAATCATGGTATTCCGTATGGAAGAGTAGGAGGAGCTATTTCAGACTTTTTGTTGCTTAAAAAAAAAGTGATGTACCCCTCTGGACACTCGTATCTCATATTCTGTAGCTGCTAAGCTGCTCTGCCTTTCCATCCAGTCTACTCCAGGCTCTGTCTTGGTGGGGTTCTGCACACTCTTTACATTTCTCCTTCCCAATCTCTGCTTTATCCTGCTAACGTATCGAGTGATTTTATATTGGAGAGTGGCATTTCAGCAGCACCGTAATTGTTCAGGATGCAGAACTTTGCTTAAGAAGCAATAGATTCCCGCTCCAAAAAGGCTCTTACAACCCTTTTACGTGAGCTGGGAACAGTACAGAGCAAAGTGGATCTTTCAAACACATATGCAGAGTGGCAGGTGATCATTAGAGCTCCCAGCTCTTCAGTCCTGCAGAGACGAAGCACTCTGAGCCCAGACTCCTGGCTGCCAACGTGCTTTTCCTTTCCCTCTGCTTAGAGTAATCTCTCTTTTGTGGATAATATCACATAATAAGAAAGGGCTAGTGAACTCAAACGTAGTTTAGGGATGAATGCTTATTCCTGTTAAAGGCTAAGTGGCTGGGAGGAGTTTTCTCCCCTCCAGGAGTGTGAGGAACCTCCTTTCCCTGACAGCACCAGATGATGCTCTGTGTGTGCTGTACTCCCTAGTTTGCAGCTCCAGAGTCCTTGGCCAGCAGATTTTAAGAGTATGCTTCTGCCATTTCTGTACTACTGCTCCTTCTTGCTTGAATGAGGGTCTTTTGAGCTGTTGAGGAGCAGGGGGGTGTCTCTTTTTGACATACTAAAATACGGAGCTCCCTCGGGGACCCGAGCCTTTTGACACACAACATGAGCATACTTCTGGGAGGCTACAGGCCATCACAGGGGCTTTGCAGGGCTGTGGCCAGTAACTAAAAGTGTTTGTTCCATATTCTATCGTGGCACTGCAGTGTTTTCAGCTTTGGCTGAACATTTCCCATAAGGAAATAATGTAAATGGTTAAAATTTGTTGTGCTTTATTAGACCCAGCTAATGCAATGCCCTGGTAGTACAGGGGTCTGCATTTGTCTGGTGTCCCCCTCTGCGTGGGCAGGATGATGTAAAGTGTAGCCTGATGGCCAGGACATCGAACTGCTTGTATGACTGCAGGAGGTAGGATGACAAAGATGTGTACCTTTTGGACAGTGCCATCTTCTTGTTAACCCCGTGAGTGTGAAATATTTGGCTGCTCTGAAGTAGAATTAAAGCTCTCTTGGGCACGGGTGCTTTTCTCCTTGGTTTCTGCCTGCCCTAAGCTGCAATTACTACTCCTGTTTGCTCTTTGCATCGTGATAGTGCCTTAGACTCTGTGCTAGGTGCTGTGGAAACACAGAGCAGAAAGAGAAAGCTAAGCAAGCAAGCAAGCAGTGCTCTTTCCTCCTCCAGGTCTCTCCCAAAACCCATCTCTGCTGTGCCACTCCAACTCAGACAACCTGTACTGGTTTGGTATGTGTCTGTCAGAAAGGTTTGGGTTTGTGTATTAAAAGAAGCAAGTCGGTGTTGACATCAGAAATCAAGTACTGTATGCAGATACATAATCACCTGATCTAATTTTTCGTCGCCCTCTTTCTTCTTTTAGCCACTCTTGGTTTTGTTCCCTGCATCTTGTCTCGTGCTCTGTCAGGTATTTACTGCTGGAGGTCTCTTATTCTGTGGTTACACGGAGACTTCTGCCACGTTGCCTTAATCCTGGCTTTAATCATCATTTGCCAAGCCCTTGAGAGGTCACCGCAGGCTGAGCGTTTCACAACCTCGTGGGTAGGTTCTGGAAAGCATGGCCGAGAGTTTTACTGGAGGCAAGGATACAGTAAACTCGGGCCGTGGTAAAAGCTTTGTATGGCAATAAAACTACACCATAAAGCAAGGGGGGGAATATGGTTGCTTAACTGTGCGACTTTAATAGGCCTGGCGGAGCCGTAAGGATGAGCTCTTTTATGTGACAAGTTTTGAAACAGTGGGAGGAAAACGCTCTCGTGGGAGCCCTGGGGAGAAGCTAATTTCACTTACAAGTCACCAGAGTCCTCCAGTAACACGCCTCGGAGCCCCGGCCAGGCTGGAGGTAACCAGACCCGTGGATGTCTCAAGCAGCTCAGGTTTTCTTGGTGCCATAGGGTCAGGAAGCAACACCTGGCCCCCAAAAACAGTTTTTGGCATTGCGTGTGGTCCGGTGACAGCTGATAATTTGTGTTTTCCTCTACAGGATTAGGTTTTGACTGGGAGTGGAGGCATTGTACTCGGTTTGATGGACTACAGTCCTTAATTAAATGTGTTTCGTGGTGGTGTGTTTGTATGTCCTGCAGCATCTCAACGTGCTTTTGGTGTGTGCAGGGATTTAGGCACCTAATTCTCAGCTTCTTTTGGGGATATCTCAGCAAAGTGCTTGTTCATCCAGGCTCTCTGGCTATTCAGCAGGGATCTGGAAGTTAATTCCAACACATTGCTGCAGCTCGGGAGGGGTACATGAGCCCTTCTACCTACGAGAAAGGAGCCTTCTGCAATGACACCTAATTTTGGTGATTTAGCTAGGTGCCTAAAGGAAGGAGGGCTGAGTCTGGACATCAATGGAAACTCCTGTGTAGGTGATGCAGAACTCCTTTTTCCCGTAAACTTCTGAAACGTGGCTGTGAAGCTGTATAAGCAGTTTTTTGGATGAGGATCAAAGTCTCGGGCTGCTCTGTGAGTTAATTGTGGGATGCGCTTTTGACTTGGAATCAGTTGGTATGAAATGCAGTTGGTAGAAGTCAGTGTGTCAGAGCAGCTGAGAGCACTTCAAGGGAAGAATCTGAATGTGATTGCAAAAATGAGAGAGATTCACTTCCAGCAGCCTCTCCAACTGAAAATGTACAGCACCACTCAGGATTTGGTCCACGAACTTCATGAGAAGGGTGAGGGTTGAAGGTTGAGGGCTCCTCTGTTTGTAAAGATGCGAATCAACACTAATTCCAAGGCAATTAATTACTACGTCGGTGCCAACCTGATGTAATTAAGATTATAGTGAGGGCCACCACATGTATTTAAACGTCTGCTGTGCGTAAGTGTCCGTATGTAGGGTATGTGTATTAAAGAAACTAATTGGTTTATACTGGATTTCCAGAACGCTGCTTGTGGTTTCTGTAATTCAATTCTGCAATCTTTACTGCTTTTTTGGAAATTCTCCCAGGATGGTTTATTAGTCGCTAGGCTTAGATTTCGGACAATAGATTCAGAAGGTCTCTTTCTCCCTTTCCTTTCTATTTCTTTTTTTTTTTAATATCGCTCCGAATATTTATGCTCTGAAGGTTAAGAGGAGCAATAGTTCCAGAAAGTAAAGTTCTATATTTAACTGCAGACTAGGTGTGGTTCAGACAACTGCAGTGCAAGCTCCCTCTTGCTGCTGTGCTAGTGATATCAACCTTGACCTGTTCTCTTCTTGAGCCTCCTCCTCATGAAATATGCTGAGTTTTGTGAGCGCTGATGTTGTTGTGTGGCTTACCCTCCTTGGGGAATAGAGCTACGACGACGACAGTCCTTTCCATTGAAACCGGAGGTTAAACTTGAAAGTCTGGTGCTGGTTCAATTTCGTGTTCTCCTTTGTTACATCTTGTCCCAAAGATTTTTTTTTTCCCTCTGCTTTACCTCTTTTCAACCCTTCTCATTAGAACTATGAAATTGAAAATCCCCTTAGGGTTTTTTTTCTTTTTTTTTTAATGAAGCTGTGTTGTCTTGTCTATCTTTTTTTTTTTTTTCTCCTTCTTTAAGTTATTTGTGCTTCTCCTGTAATTGTATGTTGCAGTTGAGGTTTATCTTCTTTTTCAGGCAAATTGTTGCTAAAAAAACGTCTAAGATTGGCAGCAGAATCAATGGCTACACCCGTTTTAAGGCACTCTTGCTGAGTACCAGTGAAGACTGATGGGGGGAGGGCTTGAATATTGTTTAAGTATATGCTTTATCCAAATACTGCATTAAAATAACTATAAATTCTGCTCTAAACAAAATGAGCAATTAATTAGTTGAAAATATTTCAATTTGTCTAGAGAGGAGGGACTTCTCTAGCTGAGGGTCGTTTTGGTTTGTGTGTCTGTATTTTTATTGTAACACTTTACTTTGCTCTCGAAGCAAAGATGTAAAGAAATATTTAGGTTAAATAGGACTAAATGATACCGATCCCTATTATCCCCATTTCACAGGTGGCAAAACGGAGTCGGGTGCTCCACTTGGCTTCGTGAGCCACGGCAACTTTATTCATAAGAGAAATGGGTTTAGATTTCCTAAGATACGGAGGGTATCGTTTCGTGATAGAGCTGAGCTGAATTAACAGTTTGTCACCATCTCATCCTTTAGGTGTTATCCTGTCTCATCACCCTTCTCGATTCCTCCTCCTCAGTTTCCCTACTGCTGCCACCCTGCATTGTGCCAGATACGCTTCTTGCCTGATGGAAATACCAGCCAATTCAGCTCAGTTCAGAAAAAAAAATATATTTTTTCCCCTCATTTCAGTGAGTTGATTCAGCTTGCCATGCAACGGGGGCACGCCAGAACTGGCTCAGGGCAAATGACAGGAATGTACGACAGAGAGAGCAGGAAAGGGAAAGCTTGACAGGGAGATGTGCACATTTTCTGTGATTATTGGTGGTGGTGGTTTGCTTGCCTGTATTTTGTTCTGGTTTTGTCTGGTTGGACTTGGATGAGTTGGTTAAAAGCGTGGTCATCCCAGCGGTTGTGCTGGCATCGTTGAAGATGTGTCCTAAGGTTTAGATCTCCTGGAAGGAGTCCTGTGGAAGGCCACAAAGATGATACGGGGCCTGGAGCATCTTCCCTGTGAGGAAAGGCTGAGAGACCTGGGTCTGTTCAGCCTGGAGAAGAGAAGA